TACGTATTAGTGTAGTTTTGTCTAAGTTTAGTCTATACTTATTATACTATTAACCTAAGTAGTCTAATATCTACTAAGTTAACTATCTATTTATATAAGAAGAGTATAGCTAGCTATAGCGTACTATGCCTTATTAGTAATATAGAGATATAACTAAGATTATTCTACCTATAGCTTTTATATAGGTATTAACTATATATTTTTTTATAACTATAGGTGTAGTAAACTTATTCTTTATAAGGTTAGCAGAGTATCTTATCTTAAGATTATACTAAGTACTAACTTAGTAAAGGCATTTCTTAGTAAGAATATTTTTGCTAATATTTATATTATATATATAGTATAGAGTCTAACGTATAATAGCCTAGGTCTTACTCTCTTTATTCTAACTAGAGTTAACTAAGACTATTTTATATTAAGGTCTTATACTCTTATAATAGGCGCAAACAGTATTCTAGCTAAACGTAGAGAAAAACTACTATACTTATAATACTATTACTAAAGTAGGTATTAGCTTAAGAATAGTCTAAGACTAGTTTAACTAAAGACTAGTCTTACCTAATTACTAATATTCTTTATTTAGAGTGCCTTTGCTAGTATAATAAAGTTCTTAACGTTGCTGTTACTATCTATATTACTTTCTACTACTTCTAAATTAATATTAGCTTTACTTTCTTTATATTAACGCTTACTAAGAGCTATCTTAGATTACACTACACTAGGTATATTCTCTCTACTATTACTTTAGTCTACTATAAGTCTATACTTAGTTAAGACTTAGCTTATTATTACTTATAGCGCGTTTAGTAGATAAACGTTTATAGTAATAATTGTAGTTAAATCTTAGTTTAGCTAAGGTTAAGAATAAAGTTAAGAATAAAGTTAAGAATAAGATATAGAGTAGCTGCTAAGGCGCTAGCGCTAAGCTGCAACTATTTAAGAACAGCTAAGCTTACGATTAATCTAACTGTCTAAGCAAGTGTCGACTAAGATTAACCCCGAGGACAGCCGAGCTACTCTCTGGAAGGCGGCCGTAGGTGACGATCGGGAACGTTGACGCGCAAGCCAAACATCGTCAACTAAACACCAACTCCCACCCATGACCCGCCGTTAACCAGGAATTGACGGGAAGACGCTGTCGCCAGTTCGAATCGAATCGCATACCTCCGCCTGAAGCGCCGCAAACCTCCAGCCGTCAGCTCCGCCAGCTGGCCTCACATCCGGCAAGATGAAGGCACGGCTGCGCAACATCGCTCTACTGCTGTTCACTACGATAACAGCAGTAGCAGCGATGGATGTTACGCTCTCCGACAAGGAAACGCAAAAGTGCAGGTATGTAGGAAGATATGCATCTTGGGTTAGCCAGAGGCAGCATGCTCATACAAGTCCAGCGGCATGTACAGCAAGAAATCGTGGGGAGGCAAGGTCGATCCCTTCATACTTGTCAAGTTCATAAAAGATCCCAAGAAGAACGAGGGCATCAAGGACCAAACTGTCAGCCTGGTGATCTGGGAATGGAAAGACACTTTACTTCTGGGCGCACCTTCCGACTTGCCCGTGAATGATGTACGTGGGACCTGATACGCTCCGCATAACCCAACTGACTTCCTCCAGGAAAATCGCCATTACATTTGCGACGACGAATCGATAAAACTGAAACTCTGCGACGAAAAAGATAAGGGCAAATGGGTACTTGCAGAAGACGTTGAAGACGCCTCTCAGATGCCTATTCGAACCGACGCCATCAATCTCGACGATCCGAAACCGATCAAATACCCAGTCTCCACCGCAGAAACAAAGGTCCCAATCAAGACGGGCTACTATTGTGTGGCTGCGAATGCGGCAGACAAAGAACTGGAATTCGAGGCTATTGTGACATTCCGGAATGCCTATGGCGAGCTCCAGGCCGCCCAGATTGCGAAACTCCCATTTTACGGCGGCATTACAATTGTGTACTTTGTTGTGCTGGCATTCTGGGGCTTCCTGTATTTCCAGAATCGCCACGACATTCTTGCCGTCCAGAACTACATCACCGCCATCCTAGTCTTCCTAGTCGTGGAGATGCTAATGACCTGGGGCTACTACGACTACCAGAACCGCCACGGTAACAACGTCGGTACCAAAGCTCTCATGATCGTCGTCGCTGTACTGAACGCTTTCCGCAACTCCTTCTCGTTCTTCCTCCTGTTGATCGTATGCATGGGATATGGCGTTGTCAAGCCTTCTCTTGGCAAGACCATGACTGTTGTACGCTGGCTTGCTGTAGCTCACTTCATCTTTGGCGTAATTTACGCTGTGGCTTCGCTTACTGTTCGTCCCGATGATGCTGGACCTCTGGTCTTGCTAGTCATCCTTCCTCTGTCGGCTACCCTCACGGCCTTCTACATCTGGACTCTGAACTCGCTAAACCTCACGATGAAGGACTTGATGGAGCGCAAGCAGCACGTCAAGGCTACCATGTACAAGAGATTATGGTGGTGCATCTTGACAAGCATCGTCGTTATCTTTGGTTTCTTCTTCATCAACAGCTTCACTTTTGCTGGAGCGTCGACACCTGACTTCGCGCCGACCCATTGGCAAACACGATGGTTCGTGCTCGATGGCTGGCTAAATCTCGTCTACCTGGCCGACGTCTGTTTCGTCGCGTATATGTGGAGACCAACGGCCAACAACCGAAGGTTCGCCATGAGTGACGAGGTACGTTTTTGCGAATATAGCACCCACATTCCTACTAACGACTTTTTAGATTGCACAAGATGACGAAGGCTTCGAAATTGCCTCGATGAGAGACTCTCTTGATGAAGAAGAGAGAGGAGCAGACCAACCCCCTTCGTACGACCCAGCGCAGAGGTCGAACAACAACAACAACATTGCGCGCGATGTATCGCCATTGCCCGCACCGCAAGCCCAGAAGCCCATTGTACCTCCCAGGGAGAGCCTCGATGGCGACACCATCTTCGCGGTAGGCGAGGATGATAAGTGGAGCAGTGAAGAAAGTGGCGACGAGGAAGAAAGCGAGGATGAGGAGGATGATTCGGACGACTCGGATGATTCAGACGAGTCAGGGCCATCGAATTCAAAAGCGAAGGACAGTGAGCGGTCCAGATTAACTGGTCGAAAGAACGACTAGGTGTTGATTTGACGCGTCAAACAACGGCGTTGGATGGCCAACAACACTTTTCATGATGTTAGCGTTATCCCCAACATGTTGTTTGATAGATTAGGCGTTCCCAGCGTTTTTGTAGTACATTTGGCCTGAAGGCCCAGATCTAGCACATTCGATGACATCAATTTGTCACATCTCGCTCTAGCCGTAACTCCGTAATTGCCGAGGCATCTCGAGCTCTGATCAAGCCCTCACGCACCTCACTAAACACCCTCACAACTGCCATGGCGACCTCTTCACTGAGCGCACCGCTGCGGACGCCCAAATACATATGCGACGCTTGCCGAACAAATGTGCGCTCCCTACGCAGACCGGCCGTCGATACGTACCGAACCTTCAGCACCGCGTCATCTTCAAACGGCAAAATCCCCACGCGGCCGATATCATTTCCGTACCGTCGCGATCGATTTATCATCTCACCGCTGCATAACGAAAATGCTCGCGGACGATTCGAAAAGCGCCAATACTCGATAACGAGCTCCTCTTCGCAAGCTGCCAGCTCAGGCTGTGCACCGCTCCCGCATCGCCGCCTCATCTCTCTCTCTGGGCCCGATACCGTCAAGTTCCTCCAGGGGCTGATAACGAACAATGTCGATTCGAGCCGTCAGTCGCCCTTCTACGCTGCCTTTCTAGATGCGCGCGGCCGCGTGTTGTGGGATGTCTTTGTCTGGGTGTGGCCAAAATTACTAGAGGGCAAGGAGCATTGGGCATGCTATATTGAGGTGGATGAGAGCGAGTTGGAGTCTCTGAGAAAGCATCTGAAGAGACACAAGCTTCGGAGTAAGGTGCAAATCGAGGAGGTAGAACCGGACCAGATGCGCGTGTGGGCAGCTTGGGGCTCTGAGGTTGAGCATGCCAATACCGACAATGCTATCACTGCGATGAGCGACCCGCGTGCACCAGACATGCATCGCTACCTCGTAAGTCCCGACGTAGCGACAATTATACAGGGGGTGGAGCCAGTGGATATCCAGGAATACCACCTTCAACGCTACAGGAACGGCATCCCCGAAGGACCGCAGGAGATACCAAGAGAAAGCGCGTTACCAATGGAGTGCAATATCGATCTCTGGCATGGTATAGACTTCAAGAAAGGGTGTTACGTTGGCCAGGAGCTTACCATCCGTACGAAACACACCGGTATCGTGCGGAAGCGCGTCTTGCCCATCGACATTGAGAAACCCGCCGCATCCGCAGCCCTTCCAGACTATGGCACGGACATCAAACAACTAGATGCAGATGGTAACACAAAGAAGGGTCGTGCGACAGGCAAATTCATCGCGGGCATTGGGCAAGTAGGTCTCGCAATGTGTCGGTTGGAGAACATGACTAGCATGAAGATCAGTGCCGAGGGAGGCACATGGAAGCCAGAAATGGAGTTCGGCTGTGAGACAAGCGGAGGTGTTGTCAAAATCAGGCCCATCCTGCACCATTGGTTTGTACAGAGGGAGAGGGAGCTTTGGGAGAAGAACAAGAATAGACCAAGCTTATAGACATGTGATGAGCTATACTATCTGCGGAAAGCTTCATCTTCTCTACAATTCTCGCTTACCCATGGGTTTCCTGTCGAATTTGGTTCTGCGGGTTTTGTGTTCACCGGACGCCTTGTTCGCAATAGTCCGTGAGCTTATGGTCGCGGGTGGGGCTGTGTAATTGTGGCTTAGCTCGTGTGGTTGGGGAAACGTCATCTGGCCATTCCACATCGTAACTTCGATATATCCGTGCCATACCCGTAGTCATAGTCGCAGCCTTTTTCCTATTCTTCTGCAAATAATCTCTTCTCTAGAATTACTCCTTCGCGTCCCGTGTGTCCACATCCTGGTTCTTCGAAGAGATGGCCGCCACACTACCCTCACGGTCATCGGAACATCACTTCTCGATCTCAAACATCATCTCCAAATTTCGGTCAAAGAAAGGGACGAGCAACAAAAAGCCCGATGCGCAACCGTCGCGGGAGATCTTGCAAGAGACGCGCCTGCCACTAAAGCCCGCGCCACTACCCTTAGTCCTACCAGAACATCAACAGACCCTGTCAGCTCTCGGCTGGACGACCGTCACTTTCCCTGAATCATCACCATCCCAATCTGAAGCGACAAATCACGAGCATCAAGCCCCCGCGCCTGGGCCTCACCCTTTGCAGGCCGCATACGAACAGCTCTTCGCAGCAAGTCAAGCTTTCTTCAACCAGCCCGATAAGGAAAAGCAGCGATGGAAGCACAAGCTCAAGTCTGAAGAAGGCTGGTCCAAGATCCCCGGCGAAAAGGAATTTATCACTTTGCGAACTCTAGAGTACTGTCCAGAAGTCTTGAGAGGGCCTGCAAAGAGGTATTGGGATCTCATTGGACAGCATTGCTCGAACACGTTGGGTAGGATCTCAACGTCCCTTGGGCTACCAGATGGCGAAGACGAAGGGCTGAGACAGTTTGTTGGACCCTGCGGTGCGCTGCAAGCTTCTGATAAGGAGAAGACGGCGACGATGCTGCGATTGTTCAGATATGAGGGGTGGGAAGCGAAGGTTGTGGCTGAACCGCATGCTGATCTAGGACTGCTAAGCGTGGTTGTTGGTGATGTGCCTGGTTTGGAGGTTTGGGATGGAGCCAACTGGTTCGAGGTCGAGAAAGTAGTCGAAAATTCCGGGAAGAAAGGTGCTACTATGCTCGCTGGACGGCAACTCGAAAGACTTTCCAATGGAAGATACCCAGCTGGTGGTCATCGAGTGGTAGCTTACGGGTCTCCGGAGCCTTCGCCAAACACTCCCTCGACCGATGACAAAAAGTACCGCTTCTCGATCGTTTTCGTTCTTCGCGCCCACGAACCTCTTATTATTAACTCTGATTCCTTCGAGACTGAAGTCACGGGCAAGTGGCTTGAACCTATGAACGGTATTACTGCGGGTAGGTTCTACGAGAAGATCAGAGGCCAGCACTTCAACATTAATATCGATATGGATGAGAGGCAGAAACAGAGGAATAAGCTGAACAATGTCAAGGATAGGAAGAAGCAGGACTGGGAAGGTAAGGAGAGCAAGGTTGCGAGTAGTGGTTAGATCTGGTGCATCGACTTGCAACCCTTTCGAGTTGCCTAGGAATGAAAGATCCCTCCTGTAATCAGCGCCACGCAATCATCGTATGAGAGCATACTTGTGATGTATGCGTCTCCAGGGCCCCCGAGGTCTTGCTCAACCCGTGGACGCTACTAGAACCCAAGCTAGCTCTATTGAGCTTAGTGCTTTCGATACCCGTCTCCCACCCGTGCACCGTACTTTGCAGATGCTGCGACCACTGAAATGTACACGACAAGGAGTATGCATTGCGTTTCCTCGATAATCTGTGCCGCTGACATCAGCTGACACACACGGCATGATGCATATCGCGAGACGCTAGAGGACAGATGTAGCCTCAGCCGCACCTCTTGCGGCGGGGTCGAAATCCGATCTACTCGCCTCCCGCCGCCCCCAAGAATGCTTGGGAAGTCGTCAGTACTCTGGATTTTCGAACGCATCTTACTCTTCATATTCGCTCAATCATGATCTTTATCGACAGTACGACGCTGGCGCTCCATGTTCGGGACCATGCAGACCCTGATCAGCGATATGCCATCCTATCACACGTGTGGGGTCTCACTAAAGACGAAGTGACCTACGAGGAGATGCTAGTGCCGCCGCAAGACCGTCCAGAAGCAACACTCTCGAAGCCTGGGTACAAGAAGATCGTGGAGACGTGTAAGATGGCTTCTTCGTCGCGATACAAACTCCCGTATGCATGGTGCGATACGTGCTGCATAAACAAGTCCAGCAGCGCAGAGCTCAGCGAGGCAATCAACTCCATGTTCAGGTACTACAAAGAAGCTTCGGTGTGCTTCGCCTATCTATTCGACATCACTCAAACCGCATATTCTTTCAAGTCATCGAAATGGTTTCGTCGTGGCTGGACGCTCCAAGAGCTCATTGCGCCGAAGAATGTCGTCTTCTTCGATCAAAACTGGGAGTTTACGGGGACCAAGGCGAGCTTAGCGGATCAGATCACGGAAATCACAGGCATTCCGGACGACATTCTCAAACACCAGATGGAGCTAAGCGAAGTGCCTGTTGCGCAGAGGTTCTCGTGGGCGTCTACGCGCAAGACTACCAGGGAAGAAGACATTGCCTATAGTCTTATGGGCATATTCGACATCAACATGGCAATGCTCTACGGAGAAGGGTCAAAAGCGTTCATCCGGTTGCAAGAACACATACTCAGCGAAACTGCCGATGACTCGCTTTTCCTTTGGAATGATGCTTTCTCTTATCACAAGCTGTCAGGCCTCCTTGCTCCGTCTCCCAGCTGTTTTCGGCAAATGCGATCAATCACCCCCGAACCGGCTGTTAAGCCACGAGACTTTTACATGACAAATCGTGGCATCCGACTGAAACTGGGACTTGCCTGGGATCACGATACTGGACTTGCTATACTACCAGTGAAACATTCGCTGGGCGCGGTCGGTAAACCTGTTGGAATTTACCTCAGGAGAGTCGGACCGGATCTGTTCGTTCGCGCGCTGCCTCAAGAATGCCCTAGGGTCAAGACTGAAGTGACCTACACTGAGTTTACTGCAGTCAAGTCGTTGACAGGTCCGCAAGCTTCGACGATCATGGAAAAGGTCATGCGGGTAGAGAAGCCCGCAAGCGTGCATGTCAGTCGAGTCGAACCTCGCGGCATATGGGATCCTACTGCAAAATGGCTGCACGCGACACATACGGGCGCCATCATTGGCTACATGGAGTTCAAGAAGGAGGCATATCCCATATTCGCATTCGTGTTTTTCTTCAGGAACGGTCATTGGTCGGCTACGGTAGTAGTTGGGGACCAGTGGACCAGCATACAGAAGAAGTTCCACAAGCATTACCGGGACAACCTTGAAGAGCTCCGCTACTTCGATACAATGGGGGACGCGAGAATGCAAAAGATTGAAAAGATCAAACCCGATTCAAAAGTTCTCACGTTGCACATGCGAGTTGCGAGAGGTACTGGGCGACCCCATCTGGAGATAAAGGAAGTAGACAGGAAGGCTTGCACATCTTGATATATGTTGTTGCGTGAGCGCATCTGGATTCCATGTTGCAGCAAACTACGTATATTTACAAAGAACAGAACGAAGTTGCATGACCCGTGATCACAAGTACATGAAATCATACTCCTTCTTCAACCTTCCGAAACCAATGGTCGGCTGATAGTCCTCGACCTTGTCAGCACCAAAGTCGAAGACAGAGTAGTGTCTTCGCAGGAACGGAGCGCCGATCAACGCAAAACCTTCGCTCTCGCTGCTGTCAAATGGCGGCATGCATTGGTGACCCGGTAGGAGGAACTCGTCGCCTCGAAGGGTGAATGAGACATCGTCCTCTCGGGCGCCCTCGCCAAGTGTCACAGTAATGGCCCACGAAGCGTTCAGGTGCTTACACTCCATGATCTCCTCGCCGTGGTTGGTGAGCTTGGTGTAGTTCCAGCCGAGGTTGAAGTACATGGCGTCGATGATGTCGCTCGGGAAGGAGACACGTCCAGATCCAGTATCGAAAACGGCTCCACCTTGGTAGATTGACCATGTTACGTTGGCGTCTGGTTCACCACCGTTCGACGCGGCAGTGGTGGGAAGGTGGCCGTTGTGTATCTCAATGGTTGCGTTTGTTTCCGATACGTTCTCCGCAACGAGGACGTTGATGCTCCTTAGTGGCGCACGCCAGAGCTGGTATGGATCCTCTTTCCTCAAGGGCGTGGAGACCACCTCGCCATCTACGTACTTGTCCTCATGGCTGCCACCGACGGTTAGCACACCGTCTTGCGTACCGTTACCCGCATCCTCAAAGTTCGTCCCGTAGAATAGACTGAAACGAGGTGCGTCCAGTTTTCCGTCCCACAACAATGTCTCGACCAGGGTCGACGTGTTCTTTTCTGCGATGGAGGAGAAACCCAGGCCGAGGAAACCATCGGCTGTGATGAAACGCCAGCTGCTCTGGTTGGCGGATAGGAAGGTCTGGTTCCATTCCACGCTACCGTCTAGAGTGCTGAAAACGTCCTGGATAGTATCGCCGGCAACGTCGCCGCCGAGGTATGGAATCGCCGCGGGGATGTTGAGGTCGACGGATGTTGAAGAAGCAGACGAGTTGTATTTCTCTCGAACGTAGGATGTGACCCTGCCATCAGGGCATGATTCCTCGGTGCAGTCGGTGTTGACGACGAACAGCGTTGATGACCCGGTGTCGAACAACAACCGGTGTTCCTTCGGGGGTGTTCCGATGTCGAATTTGACGCTGGCATAGCTGTTGTCGATGACGACGGGCAGTTCAAGAACGGATGCCGAGACGGTGGTGGCGACGGCCAGGAGCTTCTTCATTTGAGCCACCATGGTGAAAGATGGTGTTCTGGTAAGACGGTGTTGTGAGTATGAAGAGATGAGATGCTCTTGACTTGAAGGAGAAAGTATTAGACGGCATGACGGAGGTATATATCAGTACCTGCGCTCGCGCTACTCAGTAATACAGCCTGAACGTCGTATTTACAAGGATACCCACACGAAGTTTCAACGGTTCTGTCCATTAACATTCAAGCCTGAAGACCGAAGATGACGGTCGTGTTCTAAAATTAACAAAAGTGGTCTTCTGGAAGACTTCAAAGCTAGATGAGGCTCACGGGCCGATGTGCACTGTCCGGAAAGGGGCACGCATGGGCTGTACTAGGACTAGCTCTCGCCCATCGGCCCGGAGAGATCCACAAACGTGGGCCGTTTAGTATGGATGGGGCTGGATGGGGATTGGAAGGGAGTTTTGAGCGGGTTTATGACGTGCGTGAAGCACGCAGAGGATGAAGCAACGACAATGTTCTCTACAGAATATGACTGATCTCAAAGGGTGTTTCGTGTAAGTCAGTGCGAAGGTGCTATCGCTGCGTAATACGGTGACAGAGTCCATAAGCCGAAGAACTTCCGTGGGAACAAATCTCCGCGTGATCCGCTTGTTCAGGTGTGATCGTACAGACCGCGCATTCTTTCTCAATCCACGAACTGGAGCTGCGCACCGTCATTGCCATTTTTACACCTTGGACCTGATGCGTGAGATTCATCTCTCACGATGGCATTGTCATTCACATCTGCAGCGACATAATGGAGCTCGTCGGCACCTCGTAGTTGTGGCCCTGCAAGTGCGAGGTCGAAACTCCCATCGCGAGAGCCTTGCTTCCTCGGCGGGTCTACACTTCTCAGCGTCTAGCACCTCTTCTCCGTCGATAAACGGAGCATCATGGCATTGACCGTTACTTCTATCGCAAGCATATTTTCTTGTGCGAAGGAAATCCCAAATCCTTGAGTAACCCTAGACGACGAATCTGTGATCCGCACGCGATTCCGACCCTACCCAGGTATCGAAGCTGCCTCGGACGATTCTACGCAGTCGAAGCGGCAAGCCGTCGCGGATGTATTGATCAGAAGGATGCCTCAAAGTTTTTCTCTAGATGGCCACGAAAGACATGTGGAAGGTAAACATGATGTTGGAGATTCAGGGTGCGAGGCGCGAGACGCTGCCGCACAGCCTCTGCGTGGCTGACTGTGGCAGGGGATCAGCTCAGCCTGGTTGAGTTGGTGGGCAGGCAGCACTCCAGCCTTCCAACGGTCGTCTGCTCACCTCCATCTTCACAGCAGGAGGATATATGTCTTCATCAAGCGCTGTTCCATGCATCCCGAGGTCTCAGTCGCGCACGTCGCGCACCTTCCTCGAAGCTTCGCAGCTTCCCAACTACGCGCGAGCGTGACCAGCGAAACCCCATCCTCCGCGTTCGAGCACGACCCGCTTCCCGACTCTACCACACGCTTCCGCCTTCTACACATTCTGCACGGCGACTTTGGCCAACATGTCGAATGCGAGATATCTTCATGGCCAATCGATGATGCACCGCCATATTACGCGATATCGTACAGCTGGGGCGACCCAGCTGACATGACCGAAATTACCGTCAACGGCAAGCCGCTGGCTGTACGTCGGAACTGCGAGTACGTTCTTCAACAAGCTCTTGCGACGAAGGCCAGTCATTATTACTGGGTCGACGCCATCTGCATTGCGCAGGCGAGTATACAGGAGAGGAATCACCAAGTCGGCATCATGGGCAAGATCTATTCGAGGGCAAAGCACGTTTTCGCCTGTGTTGGACCGCATGCAGATGACAGCGAATACCTAATGGCAACAATAGATTCGCAGCGGCCTCTTCTCGAAAAAATTTACGGATGGGGCCGATCGCTTGTAGAGTATAATTCGATCAGCGTGAATCAACCCTGGTACAATCCAATGTACAAGCATGTGCGTCGACAACTGCAGTGTCTCTTTACTATGCGTACATCGGAACGATTCAGAACAAGCGAAGCGTTCGTAGCATTCATGAAGAGGCCTTATTTCGCACGCGTCTGGGTCTTACAAGAGCTGCATCTAGCCACTAGAGTGTCTTACTGTTGTGGGGTGGACGTACTGCCAGGCGAGCATTTCCGAGCATTGGACTCGCTGATTGAATACTGGATCAACCGTCACGATACGGTCTATTCGTGGTCAAAAAGAAAGTACCAGAGATGGGTTTTGCAGAGGTGTATTCTGGATGACAGACCCTCGAAGAATACCTGTCAACCGCTATGGCAGGGTTTCTTTGGTACAATGCCCCATCGGGGCTGTTTACGACTCAGTGCATCAGCACGAAAGCCAGGTCTGGGTGAGGTCTTGCAGATGCTCCGTTGCTTCAATTGCGTGGACGTTCGAGACAACCTATACGGTATTCTGTCCCTCGTAAGGTGGCCAGATGGACAGGGACCAAACCCGGATTACACCAGGGACAACTTTGAAGTTGCTCAACAAGTTATTAGCTTTTGGTTTCGTGGTGACATCTGTCGACTGTTTGAATATCAGTGTTCTCTGTTATTAAGACTCTTCGATGTTACTTTGGAACTAGCATCTTTACGCGACGCCATTGCGTTACGTTCGAGCGTGGCTCCTCAACCGGGCCTTCGACTACAAGACAGTCATGATCCCAAGATCGTCAAAGTCGAAACGACCTGGATGGGCATACATATTATCGAAGACAATCGGATATCCGAGCATGCCGTCGGCCGAAGGCAAAGTAACCTACACTCATGCTATATTGAGCAAGTACAGAACGGACGTTTTGTTTTGGTACGAGTGGGCTCACACATTACTATGCGCGCACACGTTGACACGAAATTGGATGACTGGTGTCTGGTTGAGGATGGAATCCCTTTTCAGCATGGTAGCTATGGGTTGATACTCAGAGAATTAGATGATCACAGATACGTAGTAGTCGGATCAGCATTGTTACATAACAGTGACGACAGGTTCACGCATGCTCTTAAAGAGGAGAGTAGTCGCTTTCCACGTTTCAACGGGTGGTCGGATCCCGAGGATCTGATGGTCTCGGTATGGATGCTGAATGAACTTAAGGGCAAGCAATATATTTGCGATAAAGACATAGAGAAGGTCGTTAACATGCGCGTCTGTGGCTGGAAGGACTCTTCATATTTCGAAAAGGTGGTGGAAGACATATGAATTATAAGCGCTGGCAAAGACCTGATAGATGCCGCGTTGAGCTCCAGTGAGATGTTTTCCACATGTCTCAATCTATAGGATACGTATGATTTCATGGTATTTCGCTCTTAGAGATTTGTTTATGCGAATGTGGACGATATGATATGTATTCGCCATATTTCTCAAGGCAGACAATTGCTCTCCAAATGTACACGCCCGATTTCGAATTGCAACATCGGCAAGTAGTGCTTCTATCAATCGCCCCTGGTTCTCTCTACAACAAACACCCTTTGCCCTGTTATATGCCAAATTCGTGGAACGAACATCCAATCGTGATAGTGTAGATGGTAGTGCTACATGCAGCGCTGCCAAGCCTCACATAGATACACCGGACTGACTACCAAGCAAATTGGCGTCCGCAAGATAGGAAGAACCTTGTCCTGTACCATCAAGACATGTTTCTAGAACCCATGAACTTGAGACAGTGTATGCGACATGGAGTAGTGTTGCTGTCGCAAGCTGCCAAAGTCAATGACGTTCGGCATTGTTCCAAGTTAGTGTTTGGCGGCTTGTTGTTGCAGCCGGGATCCCCACATAACGTCGCCCATGTGGAAACGGCTCCGCGAACGCATCATGCGTTCAAGACAAGACGGGCAATCAGACAGGAGTCGGCTGCAGATGCGGTCATTAAAGCGGTGATATAGAAGGACCGAGCCGCATCTCCTTTTTGCGATGGGGATGACCAGGAACAGGCTAGCGCAGGAACTAGAAGTGAGGTGTTTCAAGTTGACCTAGACAGGGCACAACTTCGGGAAGGCGCGACCCCGAAACAGTTCACTCTCGTGCCATACGACGTTACTTTCACCACTGCACCGCCCGCGACGTGCCCCTCACTGCCAGCAGCGACGCTTTCATCGCCATCCCTTCGCCCTATTGCTGTCTCGCTGTGCCGCCGTCTCGCCCTCGCTGCCGCGTCAGAGACTCGCATGTCCCCCAACGGATTTCCCTCCGCTTCACCCTCGCCCGACCCTCAGCCGCTCCTTCCTCGAAACACGCCCAGATAACGCATGCGACACCTGTAACGCCCTCATCGACCCACGTCTGCGATTCTTTGCTCTTTGTACTGTTGTATTTCCACGGCAACTGGAGTCGCGCTACGGTGACCCTGCGCCAGTCGACCCAGCCACCGATTGCGCCTCATCTCACCTAGCCATTCCTCCGAACGAAGATCCCCCAACGTTGCACGCGCAGAGAGGAATGAGCTAGGATGACGCGACCGCACATCATCAGAGCAGGTATGGAGATAGTAGAGGGTGCGCATTGGAGGTGCGCAGGCTAACTAAAGTGCGTAGACACCATCGACCTGCAGGACAAATCATCGCCCACCGCCCAAGACCACTCCCAGCAACCCCAACACCCTGCGCCGCTCGGTATTGGCCCAGCAGCGCCTCACCAGCAGGCTGCGATACGGCATGTAGAGCAGGAGCGCACCTCGGAGGAGGCGCGTCTGCACGATGCATGGAGCGATGCTGGCAACACGCTACGAGACGATCCCGGCTCAGACGACGACCGCACTGTCATCAATGGCAACAAGGGCTCACAGCAAGACGAGCAGGCTGTCAGGCTGAATGGTGGAACGTCCAACGACGGTGATGATGGCGACATGCAGGACGCCGACGTCGAGGAGGACATGGACGACGACATGATGGACAAGATTTCGAGTTCGCCCTCGATAGACGATGGTGGGTATTCTTTACCTTGTTTTCCCCCGACCTGGCCGGCAAGACAAGAGTTTACGACTCCGCAGTCTTCGCCGTTCCTCTCAACGGTCGCT